CTGCCCAGGGAGGAGCCTGGCAGAGCAGGAAGCTGACTTCTGAGGGGGTCTGGTCCCAGGCAGTCAGCCAGGAGCCTCACTTACCCCCAGGGGGTCACGGGCTGGCTCACTAAAATTTAAATGAAATTCCTGTTGGACTCAGAGAAAGATGTGCAGCCAAACCCTTGCGCTTGGATTTGTCTCCTACTGAAGAGCCAACACATCACTGCTGTCCAGACACGCCACCTCTGAGCCACCCGACACTAGCACCTCCTCATTTGAAATACAAGAGCATTAGAAGTATACTACCCAGAAAGAATTTTTGCTCTTGAGGAGAAAGTGTCCTTAAAAAACTCAACATCTATCTATAGCAATAGGGAGTTAGCGTAGAGTATTGCAAGCACACAGAGCACTTTCTCTTCCATGCTTTCATCTAGAGCTTGGAAGCAGTCTTCTAGCTGGCCAACAGAGCAAGGAGCTCTTGAGAATTTAACTGAGCCACTACCATCAAAGTCATACCTGCTGCCACTCATGACATAGCCAGAGCTCTCAAAGGATGCAATCTCCTCGCTGGTCAGGCCGATTTCTCCTCTCCGGGGGATCCGTTTTCCTGCTTTCACGTACTCTGCCATTGCTGCACCTTCTCCGGGCAAGAGGGCGTGTCCATAGCTTCAAAACAACCACCAAGGTGCTGATTTCAGTCAGTCTCACACAGAGCAAGCCTGAGCCAAACACCCAGTGCCCCCGTTCACCCCCGGCTACAGCTGCATTTTTAAGCACTTTTACTCTTCCCCACCCAAGAGCCCGTTCCCTCCATCTCACCAACACTACCAACAACATGTTACAGCCTGCCAGCTGAACCCATCCTCCTCAAACAGCAGTGCAGGCACTCCTGTTGTGACTCCAAGTCACAACACTGCACAGCATTAGAATAAAGGAGTCCTAGCCTTTTGAAGAGTAATCTTCAGGTCTGATTTGATCCAAGTACCCTCAGAGTGGCTACTCACTTCAAAGGTCTGTCATCCTGAGATGCGTGAGTTTTGGGAGCTTCTGGTCCAATCAGGCTATCAGCTTCTGTATTTTCTGCAACAATCAAATAATGAAGAAGATGAATCTTGTGCCTATTGCTCTCTTTTATCAGAACAGTTACATGAGTCAGCGACACCTCTTTGCTGATTCACAAAAGGAATCACAAACAATTCACAAGAAGGACATCAAGAAGTTTCCATCCAAGTTCAAGGTCAGGTGAACCTACTTGATCTCTCAATCCAGAGATCGTCCCCTTGAAATGCTTCATCATCAGAATCTTCACTACTCGAATCACTGGATTCCTTCCTGCTCTTCTTATTTTTCTTTTTCTTATACTTTTTCCTGTGATAAAGTCAAAAACAGACACTCCATTTACAAAAATTTAAGGTGAAAGAAAGTGTTTGGAATCACACACATGTCACTAGTTTCTCAAGGCAACTTCCACCTATGGGAAGACATCTGTCTGTGTATAGGTGGTGGTTGTTTCACAGAAAACACCTTACAGCAAAGCAAAGATGCTGTCATGCCTTTCACACAGCGTTAGAAAGTGGCTCCCTGTGTTTGCAGCGACTCCTCTATGCTACATAATTCTGAAGATTTAAAGAAAATCCATCAAACTACGATTATTTGACAGCATTTATATCCCTGATCACAAAAGTGCTCAGCCTTCCTCACTACCTGCTGAGAAAGTGGTGCTGCCCTCCAGCCCAAAGCAGGTAGAATCACACACAATAACCCAGAAACTTACTTTCTGTTCTTCTTTTTCTTCTTCTTGCTTTTCTTTTTATCTTCATCTGAAAAAAATAAAGCATGTATACTTTATGAGGAAGAGATCATTAGCTATAACTGGTTACTGCACTGTGAATAACTAACTGCCTCCACCAGCACACAGCTTCTCCCACACCATTTGCTTAGGTACCAAATAGTGCTGAGGGAGTATCAGCAGAGCTGTTTGATATGAGAACATACTGAACACTCCCTGGCGTGAGATGCCTAACAGGTGCTAAATTCAGGAATCCCATTTCCTGAGGGCAAGCCCAGCAAGACAGTGAGAGACAAGGAAAGCTGGTTCTGCAGCTCGGGCATTTCAGAACGCTGTGAGCGTGCAATGGAGGCCAGAAGCATTGCTTTGTGTTCAGAGGAGCAGGAGACCACCTCCCTCACCACGCACAGTAGCCAAACCCCTCTGTTCTTACCACTGGAGCTCTGCTCAGACTCCGACTCGCTGTCACTGTCCTCAGAATGTTTTCTGCGCTTTCTCTTGGATGCCTTTCGCTTTTTCTTCTTCCTTTTCTTCTTCTTTTTCTTTTTTTCCTCTAGGAAGTTTTAAAAGATAACATTAGAGAGCAGACAAAGATCATCTAGCCCCACATGTCCTTCTCCATCTTCTCAAAGCAATGTCCTCCTTTGAAATGGAGCCCACCACACTCGCTCCCACCTCCCAGAGTCAGCGACCCTCCTGCAAGCCACAGCAGCAGACTCTGGACTTCAGTCCCTTCCCGTTTTCAAAACAAGCTGTGTAAGCAAAACAAGATACCTTCCGAGCTGGAATCTGAAGAACTGCTCTTAGATTTTGCCTCTTCATCTTCTACCGGTGTATGCTCATCGGAACTGAAGAAAAAAGTAGAATTTGGCTATTTCAAATCTGTTTTGTAGTATTTGAGGCCTCCTACGACCAAACGCACACTCGCAGATTTTGGGTCAGTACTTGCAACTGAGTGAAGATTAAACAGCTGCCTGGCAGCACAGGAGCTGCTTTCAGAACCACACCACAAAGGTCACCTCATCTACAATAAATCATACCGGGCTTAATTGGTGGGTTGGAAATGATTTTTTCTGGGGAAGAAATAAAAAGTGATACTCATGTTGATTTAGAAAAGAACTGACTCAACATGAATTGTGTCAAAAGGGCTAGTGCATGGATGGGATGTTTCTGTAAATTAAACTGACATGCAGTCAATATCAGAAAAAGAGAAGAAAGAATATGCCTTACTCGGGGTCAGGAACCTTTGGTGACAGTCCCCAGACTTCAGGTGCCCCCAGTTCTCCAATTCTTTCTCTCTCATTGAGCCTCCTGTAATGGAAAACAGTCTCACTGACACTGGGCACGTGGCACCCAGCACACCCATGTTTTAAGTCTGCTGCGACCGGTCCTGGTCCCCTAAAGCAGCTGCAGCAAGAAGAAAGAAGTGGGGGGCTGAAGCAAACCTCCACACACTGCAGGGGACCTGCAGGTGGTTCTGGTAGAAGCAGGTAATGAAATATCCCAATGAGCAAAACAATGAAGTAAAAGAGTTACCATGGATCTGGCAGTCAGAAGGAGCTAAGAAATATGGAAGAATTTGCTTTTTCAGTGAACTGTGAAGTTAACTAGGCCTTTGAGGAGGGGCTCAAAAAGATGGGGGAAGAGGGAACATCCTGCTCAAAAGGTGCTAAGTGATGGGGAGTTGGCAGCAGAATGTCAGAGGCAGAGAAAATCCGCAGTAACTGGAGGAAGGTCAAGACGGGGGCAGGTGTATGTGTGTGGAATATGACCACAACCATTGACCCAATTCAAGACCAAAAAGAGCTGCCCCCCCCCCAAGGGCCGTGGGTGCTCATTTACATAGCAAGCGAGACTAACCGAAGTCGGTAATAACCGACCCGCGAGGGTAAACCGAGGCGGGTTTTCACTAACCCGGCAACCGGACAAACGCCCCTCGGCCATCTTCACACAAACGGGCCTAAACACGGCCCCGCGGC